TTCACAAGCTATCAGAAACTGAGACATGATGGTAACGAGAGCTCATTGTACATCCGTGGCAGACAAGGAGTGAGCTACTTCATAAAAGATGGAGTAGAGGAATCACACGAAGCATACAAAGGAAGGAACTGCAGCAAGCAAACATTTAATGAAACAAAATGTACATATCCTCAGTATGTTGATGGTAAAACATTCCGTGAAGCAATTGGAGTCAATGGGCAAATACCAGGTCCAACAATAATTGTGCATGATCAGCAGATGGTTGTCATTCATGTCCGTAATAATCTAACACTTGAAGGTGTATCTATACATTGGCATGGGATGCATCAGAGAGGCACACCTTGGATGGATGGGGTTGGACAAGTATCACACTGTCAGATTGGCCCTGCTAGTACTTTCAGTTACATATATAAGGCAAGCCCTTCTGGAACATTCTGATACCATTCTCACAGTGGGGCTCAGAGGACTGATGGTTTCTTTGGAGCATTGATTGTAAAGGAACGAAGTGCCTATCTACAACGCATTACAAAAGAACTTAAGTTAGGGATGTTTGAAGACAAGCCTGGTGAGCATACCATGACATTACTAGATTGGGATTTTGAGCCAGAGTATGGAAGACTGATGTCTGGTCTTGGGTATTATGAAAAAACCCTTCCGGGACAGGTACCTGATAATCATCATAAGCGCTACAATTCTACAAGAAGCTATGTAAATGCTGATGTAGGTCCAGTCCCTTTCTATTCAGGACTCATCAATGGTAAGGGAAGGCATAAAGATGTGGATTATGCTGAGACAAGACTAAGTGTGTTTACTGTTGAATCTGGCAAGAAGTACAGGTTTAGATTGATTGGAGCTCAGGGAATGTATGCTTATAAATTCTCCATTGATGGGCATAAACTAACTGTAGTTGCTACAGATGGTTATTGGACAAAACCAGAAAAAGATGTTGATTATATAATAATTCACACAGGAGAGAGGTTTGATTTTATTCTCAATGCCAATCAACGCATAAAGGAATATTGGATGAGAGCTGANACGTTAGAAATAAACCAAACTAGTCGGTCCAGCCCTCCGTACGAGTCTCTTGGTCATGTTGCTGAGGGAATTCTTCAATATGTTGAGGAAGGAGAGACTAACGTACCAAACATACCTTCAACAAGATACCAATCTATCAAAGATAACTCTCCTCCAATTGTTTGTACATGTGATGAGCCATGCAGTGCAATCAATTGCCCTTTCAAGGATTTTCATCCAAGCTACAACACAAAATGCACTAATATTGCAGAGATGCATCTTCTTCTGCCAACTCCTTGCAATGAGATGCCAAAGGCATATCCATGCACATTTAAAAACTGTCAACACTTTGTAAATTTCAATTTTGAAGGTGATTCTCAGTCTAGTTCCGTCAATGGTCGCAATTTTGTTCTTCCACCAGTTCCACCTCAGACTCAGTATAATGACTTCACAGATCAAGCAACGCAATGCTCTCTTGAAGCTTCTTGCAACCCGCAGAGCACAAGCTGTCTCTGCACTCATATGCTGGACTTACCATATGGTCAAACTGTTCAACTTGTTTTCTCATCAGTTGGACAGTATGACAAAGCTCACCCCATTCATGTACATGGTCACACATTTCATGTTTTAAAAGTTGGTTACCCCGAGTATGATTCCGAAACTGGGTTTATAAAAAATCATAATTTGGACATTAAATGCAATGATAGCACTTGCACCAATAACTGCAATAAAAAAAGATGTACCCAGCCAGGCTGGTCCACTACCCATGGACCCATACTCTCCATCGATCAAAACACAATTAGAAAGGACACCGTAATACTGCCGGCTGGGGGGTATGTTGTGATTAATTTTCTCAGCGATAATCCAGGATTCTGGTTTCTACATTGCCATATTGAGGTTCACCAGTTAGAAGGAATGGCATTGATTCTCAATGAAGCTGAAGCCTATTCCAATCAATTGAAACCACCAGCCTCAATGAATAAATGTGGAGACTTTCATACGACAGTTGGTGACTATGAAGAGTATGTCAAAAAGTTCAAAACTTTGATATTTGCCTATCAGCAAAACGCTACTAAATTATTGTTTGCACCAGAACCAGATACAAGTGATTCCCCTGATACCATTGAGATTGATGATGTTAATGAAGAAGAAATGGATGCATTAAGCAATGAACTAAGAGGGAATCCCTAAGACTTTAATCAAAATTTTTAGTTAGCAGTGTAATTGTTTTTTTTTTCGCTATTAGCTTTAGTCAGTTTCTTTGTGTCTGTTTTATTATTGAACAATAAGATGATGAAATATTTAAGGTAGGATTTATTTAGCTTGTATTTCAGTATAATATTTACCAGACTCACATGTTGCATGGTTTCTCAGCCAGCAAGACAGGCATTCTTTAAAGCACAATGCAATATAATTGCTTCTTTGTCTTAGTCTCACTGGTCACTTATCCTATGATAGAGACATAATAGCTTCAGAATAAAAAAGAGGGAACTGAATTAAAACTCTTTTTACTTAAAATTTTTACTACAACATGAAAAATGAATCTGTAATTTTTAATGATAACACAATTTTCTTTTGTGAAAGCTGTAAATGTAGTATAATACAGTAGCGAAAAGCTGTAATGATTTGTGACAAAATTAATTACATGTACATTTGTACATACATAATGTTTGGAACACCTATTTTTAATCATTTGAGTGGGTAGTTTATGTATTCTATATGTACAATGTACATGCACACTAATTCTATTATTTCATTCTATTTCCTTTTCTTCTCTACCTATTATTTTGCTCTTGTGTTCCCATATCATTCTCCAGAAATCTTCCACAGTGTTCTTCATTGGACCCTGTGTAGCAAGGTATGCTCTCTGCTGTCTGTAGCTCTACAAGAAATAATAACATTAATTTATTGAATTTTATAATTATAACATCAAAATTAAAATTTTGATTGTAACCAGTTTAAAATTTTCAAAAATATGAGCATGTACATGCAAGACAAAAAGTAATAAAAATAATTTATTTTGGCAAAATTAGGCAAAACACCCTGTACTATAGTACAGGGACTTTGGGCCAATTTTTGAGTAACTTTAAAAATTTGTAAAAAATCTAAATTTGATTAAAATCAACTCAAACTTGCTACACAACATAAGAACATGTATGTGTATCAGAAAATATTATAAAAATGAAGAATTCTCTCCTAGTCATTTTTGACAAAATTTGGCCAAACACCCTGTACTATAGTACAGGGACTTTTGGCCCAATTTTTGAGTAACTTTTAAAAATCGTAAAAATTTAAATTTGATCGGAATCAACTCAAACTTGCTACACAACATAAAAACATGTATATGCATCAAAAAAATTATAAAAATGGAGAATTCTCTCCTAGTCATTTTTGGCAAAATTTGGTGTACTGAAGTACAGGGATGTTGGCCCAATTTTTAAGTAACTCTAAATATTTTTTTACATATAAT